CCATCTAACAAAGTGCGCCTTTACTACGTTCGATAGGCGTATTTTCGCGGTGGTAACGATAAAATGCGCCTGGTTCGTGTTATTATCATTGTACGGAAGTACAACGGGCACGAACCAGGCCATTTTATTGTTACCATCGCGAAAATGCGCCTAACGAACGTAGTAAAGATGCACTTTGTTAGATGGCGTCTCGAAAATGCACTAGTAGAGACCCTAGATGTAAGGGCTATCGCACACAAATTGACATAATTGCATATGCATAGCATAAGACTGTATGTACCAATGAGCATCGAGTATTAAGTCGCCATATTGGTGTTCGATGCTTAATATTCGATGCTCATTGGTCCATACGATCTTATGCTATGCATATGCAGTTATGTCAATTTGTGTGCGATAGCCCTAAGAGACTGGCCAAAGCTCTAGTTGGATAGAAAATGGCGGACATAATTTAAAGGTTCCACACACAGATGCGTCAAACGTTGCGGTATCTGTGCCAGAGCAGCTTGAAGACGATCCCACACTAAATACATAACTGCATATGCACATATAGGAAATACGGTAAGAACATTATATTAATGTTTGATTGTGTCAAATATCTCTCCGGTTAAGTTATATATATATATATATATATATATATATATATATATATATATATATATATATATAATGGGCTTAAAGTCCGTATATAACCCGTATTAGACTAAGTGCTGGGAGTTTGCGATATATTTTCGCGCACGCGCATTGAGCAAAATCTGTGATAACTTCAGCATCATATCTATTTTAAGGTATCGTAAGATCCCTCATCTAAAAGAAAATATGAAGGGATTGTAGGGAGAAAACTAAGTTTGTGGGAAGAAACAGAATACTGTACATGAGTAAAAATAAATATATTTTTTATTTTGTAATTTCTGCAGCCGACCAATCTTTGAAAATATTCATATTTAACCATGCATATTGGAATTTTCTTTTCGCACATTTTCTCTTCTTTGCCTCGATGCCAATTGATGACGAAGACTGATGTTGATCCATTTCTTTCTTCAATATGGCACTTTTTTCTTTAATTAACTTAATATTATAATTGCACTTTTCTTTATTACAATATCACTTTATATTAAAATTGTACTTTTTTATCACATTTTATTTATTAATATAGGGAGCGGTGCACTTGGACACGGTGCATTTGGACACAGCCAATCACAGCACCGTGTGATTAGAGACATTTGTAGGGTCCCTTGGAACAGTGACTTGTGATTGGACTGTGTCCAATTGCCCCGTGTCCAACTGATATACACCCATTAATATATACTATATATACATATTATAATATCACATTTTACATAGCTATACTAATATAACTGGGATAACTGAGCGTTATCTAGGAAGAGAGTGTCGTGAGCGTGGAGCGTCAGGTAGCTCAGTGGTTTAGAGCAGTCGCCCGGCAAGCGAAAGACCCGGGTTCGAGTCCCGGCCTAGCAAGACCGCGCTCTCGATATTTTTTTCTTTCTGGAACGAAAAAGATACGCAGATCTTGAACGCACGGCGTCCCGCCGCCACCTAGTATGCCCTCCTCCTTCTATGGTACTAATTATTATAACTATATTAAATATACTAATTTATTATTATATCATTTCACTACCTATCTAATCTACTCACTCGCGGGCAAACAACACAAACAGATGGCCGAGTATTTTGTGCATGTCCCCTAAGAATCTCTACTCGTGCTTAACGCCGTCATTGGAAACTGCTTACGACGAGCTACTACGTCATTTCACGCATGCGCAGAAGGGCTCCTGTCATCTAGAAAATATCGCGAACTCCCAGCACTGATCAGACTACGGATTAAGATTGAGATTGAATTGAAAATTGGCCAATCAGAACTAGTTCATCAAACTTGAGCTTAATAAATTTTGCTCTGATTGGCTAAATTTCAATTCAATCTCAATCCTAATCTATGATCCGATATGGGCTTTAGGGTGCGTTCACGGAGCTCGCTGTCACCGCTATTTAGCGCTACAGGCTGTTCGCGGAGCTATAAGACAACGCTAACAAACGTTATCATGACGTCACTAGTGGTAGCGTTCTACGCCATAAGGCTGAGTTTCCACTGAGAGCGTTACGCGTTGCGTCGTCTGCCTTATGGCTCCTGCACACAGGACGCGGTAATGTTTGCCGCGCGACAGCCAATCAATATGTTGTTTTTCCGTAAGAGCTAGAAGGTTATTACGGAAAGCAGCATATTGATTGGCTGTCGCGCGGATTTCCGCCGCGCGGCAAGCGTTACCGTCCTGTGTGCAGGAGCCATTAAAGACATTTATACATAAATATCTGAAAGACATCTTAAAGATGATCTTTAAGTCCCGATTTTAAACGTTATATTGTCTGGATATATATATATATATTAAATAAAGATATCAACTTGTTTTATAAGTCACTTGTTTCTCCTCAACATATTTTTAGTTCTTTTCTTTATATTTTCTCATCATGTTTTTAGAGACTGTACAGTCCATATAACTCCACTGGAACAGGCCATAAATTTCATTTCCAACCCAAGCAGCACAAAGTATTGGGCTAATTAGATTTGGTTTCCGTGTTTGAGCCACGTGGATTCATCTTTGTTTGATTCCGACATTTTGCGAACATTTCAGTCATCAGGGACGACCTGATGCCATAGGGGAGCGGTGCACTTGGACACGGTGCATTTGGACACAGCCAATCACAGCACCGTATGATTAGAGACATTTGTAGGGTCCCTTGGAACAGCGACTTGCGATTGGACTGTGTCCAATTGCCCCGTGTCCAACTGATATACACCCATGCCATAGCATTGGACTAATGTTGAAGGGGGAGATCACTGTAAAAAAAACTCGAATTTTTGTCAAAAAATTTTGGTAAAAAAATTGAATTTTTGTTTTAATTAATAGTACTGTATATATAGATATAGAATATATTCTCAAAGTTTAAAGTTTTAAAATTTAAAATCTAAAGGGTCGTACAGGAACATTTCTCGTACGCAGGTACGAGCACGTGAGGCGCGGTATGAATGCACAGTGACTCACAGCGGCTTTGTTCCGGAAAACCTGTTTGACCTTTCTAAGAAAGATTTATTAGAAAGCTGCTTAGGTGAACACACACAAAATACGAATAAAAGTTTTAATAATACGATTTGGCGGTTAACTCCAAAGAATGTACCATTCTGGTCTTAAAATCATCGAAATCGCCGCCCATATTGCCGCTAGAATATTTAACGCAAGCTACTTTGCTATTTTGAAGATCATGGAAATATTAGAAATTAAAATTGGAACTTTATTTAAATTATACGCTGATATTAAAGATGCCGAGTAAATAATGAGACAGAAGCGCCGCAGTCTAAATAACAGTAAAAAGGCTCGGGCAGTTATCCCACAAAAACGTACGTCGAATTCACGTCGAATCCACGTAGAGTTCACGTGGAATCCATAAAATCACGTGGATTCCACATGGGTGTAACGTGTATGTTTTTGTGGGGCAGTAGACAACAACAAATTGAGCAGAATGACTTGTTCAAAGAAGCGGAAGGTTTACACTATAAAATCCATAAAATTATTTATTTAAACAATATATATATATATATATATATATATATATATATTTATATATATATATATATATATATATATAATATATATTTTTTTGCATACATAAAAATGGATTTTTTTTAGTAAAAGTAGTATTTCTTTTTTGAAGGCTGTTTTTTTATCAGTTAAAAATGTTTTCAACTTTTTTAGATTCATCGATAAATTATGTTTATAAGGAGTAAAAATTTTTTTCTATTTTTGTTTCAGATGAATACAACATGAGCTAGAATATACACCGTTTTGCACCAACTCTGCCGCAACACTAAAAATTTTTTTTTGCTGTATAGAATTTATAAATATTTGTTTGCTGTATAGAATTTATAAATATTTTTCCTAAGTAAAAAATATTTTTAAAAAATACTTTAATGTACAAGCAAAAGTACTGCAAAGTTGGGAAGCGATTGAATAAGTACATATTTTAAGAAAAATTCCCGAAAATTCTCTTATTTGTTGTGTCCTACAGTGATTTCCTCCCTGAATCTACAGCGGCCAATATAGAATTTACAGCGGCCAATTGTCAGAAAGAGATAAAGAAAAAGAAGCAGGAAACAAAGAACATATTGGAGATCAAGCTTAAAGCCAGTGGCACACGATATTTGTTTTCGTGCTGATTTGCTTGCTGAATGGAAATACTCTATTTTGATTGGTACATTTCTGAAGATGGGTGAAAATGTACCAATCAAAACAGAGTATTTTCATCCAGCAAGCAATCCAACAGGAAGACAAGAGCCGCTGGCTTTAAAAGATTTTTTTTGCGATAGAAACCTTGCCCCCCCGTATGCGCATGCGTGAAATGACGTAACAGCCACGTAGTAATTTTCAATGACGGATGCAACATAGCGTCTATATCGGGCCCTGTGCATGCGTTAAAGATCTTACCTGTCTATCCGATGCAGTTTTCTCGCGTTTTTCCACGAATAGTAATGATAAATTATTGATGTATTATGTAAAAGTTATATTAAGTTTAATGTTATTAATGTACTTTTTATTATACTTATATAAAAAAAATTTATATTAATATGTAATGTATTTTTATATAATGTATGACTGTGTCTTATATATATATAATAAATGTTACCTATTATGCACAATTTTATTATTAAAATACTGATAAGATTTTCTGCAGTCTTCCTTACTCTTACAACAAATATTAATATTTGTGTGATAAATCGGCTGCAGACGTTACAAAACAAAATATCAGAAGTTTATTATTATTCATAAACAACACTTTGTTGCTTTAATAGAAAAAAAAAACATTCTTTTCTCCCTACAATCCCTTCATATTTTCCTTCAGAGTGGGACCTTACGATATCTTAAAATAGATACATCAGTGAGGCTACTATAGTGCTTGTCGATGCGCTTGCGCGAGAAATTTCCTTCTTCTCCGAGTCACGGACTCGGAGTCACGCAACGCCATTAACAGAACTTCCATCAACCGCAAGATACAAGGGCCTCTCTAACGAACGGCTAGGACAAGAACAAATTTAAGGTTAGTAATAGTTAAGTGAATATTAATATAAAAAAATATCTCATCCTACACAAAAATATCCCAAACACTTTTTAGAGATGTCTCTAGGATTATTTTGGGCATTTTTTTTGTATGGAATAGTATTCATATCAGTTGATGAGTATTCTAACGTGGCAAAACTAAAATTCGAGAAGCTAAAGAGTTTAAAGTTTTATGATTTGCATTCTACACGATGCATTAGTGGTATTTCGTTCTTATTTATTCTAGACATTTTCTACTGCGTCTATTTACGAAAAATCTGGCTAACTTGAGGATCTGTTCAGGAAAATCTGTTCTGCTCGAATATATCGCACTTAGAATTGCGTATTATGATTATTGATTAAAGAGCTTAAAATGATGTTTCATTAATAATTCTAAATTATAATACAGAAATACTTGGACATAATATATCCAATCTGGAAATTTTTTAACAATAACTGAAAAGCTTCAATGACGCCATGCCACTAGTTACAGGAACGCTTTTCCTAACCTATTAGCGTATTTTGCTATATGAAGGGCAAGTACTTTGCATCATCAAATAAACCGATATAGTTAATCTACTCGTCGTTCTGAAACACATGCAACGCTAAATAAACTCCAAAAGATATACAATACATATTCATACATACACGCGCAGTGCTAACGCACGTGCGGCATTGTGAGATAAACTCTGTAGACACGACCTCGCCGAACATAATTGAGACTTGCGACTGCTTTTTAACGACACATTCGTTATACGTTGAGAAACAATTGTCTTCACGCCATTCTTCGTTTTCAATGGTTAGCCGATGGTTACCGTGTGAAAGTGGAGCATTTGGCATTTTGCAAACAAGCACGAAGAATTGTGAGATATTAAAAAAAGAAAATTAGTAAACTACAACGCGCGACGTTGTGGCGTGGTGATGCATCTTGCAAACAATCACGTGAAATTGAGATTTTAAAATAGAAGATTAGCGAACGTGCAGCATTGTGGGATGAGCTCTGTAGAGAAAACTTTACATGTAGACGCGAGCTTGCCGAACATAATTGAAACTTGCGACTGCTTTTTAACGACACATTTGCTATATATTGAAAACCAGTTATCTTCACGCCATTTTTCGCTTTCAGTAGTAAGTCGATAGTCATCGTCGAGCCGCCACCATTTTCGATGAGAGAACAAAGCTTGTCTCATGATGCGCGCACTCTGGCTTGCTAATTTTCTTCTTTTGTAATATCTCGAAACTTTACATATTTATTTGCAAAATACCAGGGCTTCTCGTGCAGATTGATGCTTTATCTACGCACGTGGTTTTCAACAGACACCCTGCATATATGTGTTTACAGGATATTTTAGCTCGAATTCACAATCTTTTGTGAGAGCGTAGAGCGGATTCAGGTAACACAAAAGTTTTATACCGTTTTGTTTAGTTCGACTTAACACACGACGGTAGTCATTGCCACTATAACTCATCTAACATACCATGCATGATCATTCACAAATTTTCAACAATTAATATCTCTATCATTATTGCAATCTTCGTAAAATAATATTAGATTTTTTGTTTATCTCAATCCGCTTTACGTCTTCGCAAAAGATTATGAAATCGAATTGGGACATCCTGTATACAGGGTGTTCCCAAAAGGTGGTACCAAATTTTAGGGATATGTAGTACTCGTTAAAACAAACCAAGAACTCTTAATGAACAGTACTCCGAAAATCTTTTATTTCTGAGTTATAAAGCATTTTATTCTGTGAAAAATACAAAATAACTAAAATTTACAATAAATGTTCAATGTGCCCTCCGCCCATTTCAACACACATAAACTGTATATATAACACGAATAAGCTGAATGATACAAGCATGCTGCTTTTGATGCATTGCCCTTTGCTCTGCCATACATAAAATGAATATCCGTCATTTCAGAATTTGTGTAAAAATTAGCCATTTTTCAAATAACACAAAAATAGACACGGTCCACAATCCAAAGTTTATTTTCTATTTTTCACAGAACAAAATGCTTCATAACTCAGAAGTAAAAAGTTTTCGGAGTACTGTTTATTAAGAGTTCTTGGTTTGTTTTAATGAGTACTACATACCCCTAAAATTTAGTACCTTTTGGGAACACTCTGTATATGTATGTATATATATATATATATATATATATATATATAT